CTTCCCCTTACTTGGCCAGGGACATGGGCATCTGTTTCCCCTGACCTGGCTATGTACGTGGGGTCCACATTCCCCTTATCTGGCCATGTACAGGGGCTCCTGGTTCCCCTCACCTGGGGCTACGTACATGGGTTCCACGTTCCCCTCACCTGGCCAGGTAAGCAGGCTGCAAGTTCTCCATGTTTCCACAAACCCTTCATGGGACAGCAAGACCTGAGCACTGGAGTGTGGACTTTGGTTGAGCGCCGTGCCGCGAGCTTCCCTTTATAGAACAGGCACAAAACAAGCAGCAGGAAAACGCAACCCTTGCATTTAACGCTCCTCCCTTTCCAACAGGTGGCCAAGCGAGTGGGCAGGGTGCTCTACATGGCTGGATTCCCCATGGCTTTCCCCCTGCAGCCCCCAGGGCTCAGGCCACCAGAGAGGGACCTTCCTCCAGCTGAGCTGCGGCCCTCATCCACGGGCAGCGTCTCCTCCCCGTTCAGCAGCGCTCTGCCTTCCGCCAGCCGCATCTCCCCCAAGCAGGAGAATGGGAACCCGTCCATTGGGGCTGGGCTCAGCGACACCACCAAACCACCATCCTAACAGCTCCCAGCTGCTCCTGGAACTGAAGGATGGGTCGAACGAATGGAAGGTTTTTGGGGAGCAGGAGAGCCTCCCTGGGCAGCGTGAGACGGAGGAGCGAGGAGGAAGGAGGGTTTGATTTGTTGTTATTTTTCTGGGATGCGTTTTGCTTTTTTTTTTTTTTGGCTTAAAAAGGAAAAAAAAAAACAAAACAGAACAGTAAAAAAAAAAAAAAACCTGTCAAAAGGGAAGGAATAAACGATCCAAAGATGTATTGAGACAAAGCCAAGTGAAGAAGAGAAGGGAGGCGGTGCTGGAGGGCTGTGGTGCCGTTCCCTTCGCCTTCTCACGCACTGGGAAAGCAGAGCTGTGATTGTTGGGAATGCTTTTTGCCTTCGAGGAGCTTCCAGGCACTGGGGGGGGGACTGGCACTGCTCCTCCATCAGGACTCAGCGCTGCTGAGCCACAACATCCATCACCAACAGAGCTCCCCCCCTTCGCACGGATCTCCTCCTCTCCCCTGGAAACTGCGCTCAGTTCCTCCATTCAGGTGTCTATGCATCTCTAGTGAACTTTTGCAAACAATACCAAAGACAAGACAACGAGTTACACAAACACACACAAACACACATAAAAAAAAAAGGTAAAAAAAAAAAAAAAAAAGAAGAAAAAAAGGCAAGTTTGTGGTCCATGTTTACTGTGGTGTGGATGGTACGGCACAGGCAATGTGGGGCTGCCCATGCACACACTGCTGGACTCTGCCCAGCCTTGCAGAGCTGGATTTGCTTGAGCTCTAAGGAAGAAATGAGTGTGTGCTCATTGGGGGAGTTCAGGGTTAACCCCCCCTGCCCCCCCCAGTCACATGTACTGCGGACTCATTTATACACCTTTGGGGTTTTTTTGGTTGTTGGTTGGTTTGTAGGATTCCTGTTCTTTTTCAAGCCTTGTTACAGAGGTGGCTGTCGTTGCACATTCAGGCCTGCTGCAGACCATGGGACAGAGGTCCCTGTGAGCCCCCAGAAAGGGGGGGGAGGATACTGGGGGGCAACAACAGCAGGCAGGGTTTTGACTACTGTGAATGCAATGGTAACTCCTGGGGGCAACCTCCTGTGACCTGTACAGTTGTGAGCAACAATCACAATCAATCACATGTGGTACTTCTTTCTCTCTCTCTCTGTCTTCTTCCCTCTCCTCTTTTTGTTTTGTTGAAACCTTGCACGTGCTGCCATCTTTTTTTTTTCTTACCCAATAGCTTGGTGGTACATTAGCTTCTTTATATTGTAAAAAAGAGAAAAAAGAAAAAAAAAGAAAAAAAAAAACAACAAAAAAAAACCCAATCCGCCCCCCCCCCCCCCTTGTCATTATCCATCACATCACAATAAAAAAAGATGCTTTCCAGCAATCAGTTTGAATAAAAAAGGCCACCACTGCGTTTACAAACAGTACCTGGCCTCCTGAGCCCCCTGGCATGGCTGTATGCTTTCCTTGCTGTGTGCTGTGCTGCTGCCACTGGGAGGTGGGGGCAATAAGCACCGTGCCCAGCTACCTTACAAGAAGTAAAGGTAAGTGAATGTGTTTGTCTCGAAGGCAGAGCCCCAAAGTTTCCATCCCAGGCTCCTCTGTGTCCCTGCCATCAGAGGTACAGAGCCTCAGCCCTGAGCTCTGAAGCCCCAGTAAAGCAGCAGGTGCTCTGCCCCCACAGAGGGAGCTGTAAATATAACAATAAATTATTAATTTTGGAGGAAACTTCCTCCCCCCCCCCTCCTTCTGGGACTCTGAGGCTGATAATTACTCTCAGTGCAGTTGGGAAAAAAAATACACCCTTTCTGTTCCTGTTTCTGCCTCTCCAAAAAGACATTGTGAGCTCAGAATAAAGCAGAAGCAAACAGCCCACGCTGCTGTACGACTGCAGCAATTGCCTGTTTACCTGTGCAGTAATTTTTGGGAGCAGCACTGTGTATGAAGGCAGGGCTCAGTCACATCTGCAGGCCCTGACTTACCACTTAGCATGGGGCTATAGGACACTTGTGTATTTCTTTACACTATTAGGTTTAATTTTTCCTACTCCATCCTACTTTTCAGCCCTTCCCTTTGTGTCCTCCCATAGCCCAATGTTTGTTCCTTAAGGTGAATTTCTTCAGTATACATAAAGCCAGCGTGGCAGATGGATCTAATGATTCCAATGCTGCTGATAAAAGGCTTCCATTTGCAGTGATAGAAAGCTCTAAATGCTCTACACGACCCCTGACAGTCCTTGGGGGGAGGGTCTGGAGAGAACCCCAGAGCCCAGAGGTGGTTGGATGGGCAGAGAGGAGGTCCTCGTGCAAAGAGCTTGTCCTTCCCACTTGATCAACTGCTCCAGCAGGAGCTGAAACTGACCCCTGTGTTATTTAAACCAGATTTTAATGCGGGCTTTTTTATTACCTAAACCAGTTTGACTGGCTTTGATGTGACCACAGAACATCACCAAAAAAACATGGGTCGAAAAACCTGCAAAAGTCCAAGCAGCTTCAGCGCAGCGCCTCACTGCAACAGTCCTGGTGGGCAGCACCTCCTGCCCCAAGAGCTTACCGCCTCCTGGAGAACCAGCCAGGGGGGCTGCAGGGTCGGGGAGGGCTCAGTCATCATCGGAGAAAGCCAAATCTTCCACCACATCCTCCTCGCCCTGGGCCAGCTGCTCGAGGTCGGAACGTGACAGCGCCTGGGGGCTGCTCCTCTGTGAGCCTCGAGGGGCTGCCTTGTCTTCCTCTGGGGGTGGAAGGAGGGAGAGGTGTAAATCCTGCTGTACTGAGGCAGGTGGAGGCAACTCGTCACTAATTAATGCCAGACACTCATTAATTTATCAGTGTTGCTGCAGCTCCCAGATAGCAGTAGAGTACTGCAGGGTGATGTACAGTGCTGGCTCGGAGTATTGGGGGAGATAGGAGAGCGAAGTCACTGCTGTGCCTGTTCCTACCTCTGGTCTCACAGGCTCTGACCTGCTGGAGCTCTTCCCTGCTACACCACCAGACCTGTGTGCTTTGTGGAAAAGCAGGGCAGGGATGCTCAGCATGGAGCTGAAGGCCTGGAGGACCCATCCATCCACCCTGAGCAATGCCCTGCTGCCACCCATGGGTGTTCAGCCAGTGAGAGCACAGCCAAGAGGGAAAGAAGCAGCCACCATGGGTGAAAAAAGGGAGGACCAAGAGTTCCTGCTCCCACTACACTAAGCTCATCTGCACATGCCAGGAACAGAGAGGGAAAATGCTCTCTCTCCATCCTTTGACGTTGTCAGAACATGCACCAAATACCCATCTATTCTGGGCTCCGAGGGTGGGCTGTGCATGCCAAGCCACAGCCATCTGCCACATGAAATCAGGTTCTGCTCTCACTTGGACTCTTTCCCCCTTCCTGCTCTCGTTGCCCCCCAAACTGGTAAAGAAAGGCAGCACCACAGGAGCTTCTGTGGCTGCTCCCCACAACCGCACATGACACCCAAAGGCATGCAGTGGAGCAGAGGCTTGGTCCTCCGACACCCAGGCTCAAAGTGATGGTAAAGATAAACCCATCCAGAAAAGAGCAGAGCAGCAGAGCCCTGGCAGCCCCCACTCTCGTCTGCTCAGCTCGCAGTGAGTTGGCAGGGGCAGGCAGGAGCTGAACGTGGTTACTGTGCTGCTGGGCACAGAGAAGGCTCTGAGCTGGCTGCAGCTCTGTGCAGGAGGCAGGGATGGCACAGAGCTGCTGGCCCAGCACCACACCAACACTACACACTGGGAGAAGCAAGCAGGACCAAGCATGGAACAAAGCTGCTTCTTGCAGAGCCTGCACTGCTTACCTACAGTGTTAAAAAAAAACAACAGATGAAAGCATGGCTTGGCCAACATCTCCTAGCTGACCTATCCTGGGAGGAGCAACTGCTAAGGGCTACCCCTGTGCAGCCCCTCGTGCCCCTGGCACTGCTCAAAGGAAAGGTGAGGTACCCCCACCACACTCCCCTGCACGAGTAACCCACAGGGAGCCTTCAAGCAAAGCCTGCTGGGGTGGGCTCTACTTCAAGCATTTGTTTGAGCCTCGCTGCATGAGGCCCCTGCACTGAGATGAAAGGGGCTGGTGGCTTGTTAGAGCAGGGGCTGCAAAGCCCTTAACCCTTTAGCTCTCAGTGTGAGCACAGAACTGACAGGTCTCCCTGTCCACGCAGTGTGTATGAGAGAAGCCCTCCTGACACCCTGCAGCTCAAAACAGCAGCAGAGCAAGAACAGAGAAGACAGCTCCTTTGTAGGAAAGACCCCAGGATACAGACCAGCCTCCGGCCATCAATAATTCCTTTTCCCTTTGCCCAGGTGCACTACTCACCATCTGAGTCACTGTCTTCCTCTAAATCTTCCTCGTCCTCCTCGATTTCATACTCTCCCTCTTCATCCTCATCATCCTCGCCATAGTCCTCCTTGCTGCTGCCTTCTGAGCTGTCGTCTGATGCCTCCTTGCCTTTGGCTTTCCCTGTAAGTATTTGTACTTTGTCAATGGAAACACAAAGAGGAGCACAAGAGCAGGAAGCACACACAAAGGGCGCATCACCAACACCCCAACGTTCACCTCCCCGTGCTGGAGGGAACCTCACTGCACTGCTCTTGCTGGTGTGCTGCCCAAAGGCCTTCACACTACAGCCCAGAGAATGATGCACAGCATTTCAGAAGCCTCTGGCTTGAATTCATCCACAAATAGGCATTTGAGATGGCCAGGAAAACACCTTCCTGCCCTGCTCAGGGAGCTGTGAGTGCTAGGAGAGGGAGATGGACAGCAGAGCACAATGAGGAGAAATGGGGCTGCTGAACAGACTTAGCTAAAGCACAAGTCATGAAGCTGGGCCAAGAGAAGGACTGGTTCCTGGGAGCAGTAGTGTACAGCCTCCATCCCACATCTGCTATACACAACTGCAGACACGGGCTGCATGGTTCAGGGCATCCTTATAAACCCTCTGAGCTTCATTCCCTCCAAAAGTCACAACAGAAAGGTCCAGAACCAGATGTCACTGCAAATCCCCTCCTAACCAGGTCCAAGGCAGTCAGGAAAGCAGCACCAAGAGCCTTTGGGTGCACGGCCTGGGCAGAGAAGCACCTCAGAGCCTCTGGATCAGACTGCCCCCGAGCACTGAATCACCACGTGTCTAAATGGCAAAGGCATCCTGCACAGGGAGAGCACAGCCACAGCCTCTGCTCACCTCCTTTCAGCCCCAAGCTAAGCCCAGCTCACTGCTGCAACCTCCCTTCCCCTGCATCTAAAATTGCCATTTACCCACGCATCAGTCAGTCTCTCTGCTACTGGTGCACATCCTTCTCATTTTGGCATCTCTTCTGATGTGTTTTTTTTGCCTTATCCTCCCTTCCCAGCATCCGATCCAGCCAGGCTGGCCACGGAGCCATCCATAAGCTGGCTGCCAGCTCGCCGCTCGCCGCCATCCGTCAGCGCCGCGGCCCCAGGGGCAGCCACAGCCACATCTCACAGCAGGAGCCTCCCGGGCAGCCATGCAGAGAGCTGAGGAGATGGATGGCAGCGCTGCTGCCGGCGCCGAGCATATTGATGGGCACCTGAGAGCTCCGGCAGCAGCGCGCGCTCATCCATCAGGCAGGGCCGGCGGCAGCGCCGACAGCTCGGCTGGGAGCACGCAGAGAGAGCAGCTGTGGGCAGGGAGTGGAGCCGGGCTGCTCCTGCACACCCTGAGCTCGGAGCACGCCTCCTTTTGTATCATGCACGCAGGTCCTGGTGCATTCTGCAGGCAGAAGTTGAGCCTTAGGTAGGAGCACACCTGTCAGGCTCGAGCTCCCTGCTCCTTAGGATTGCGTATCTCCTTCCCTGGACCCTGCGTGCAGCAGGAATTCTGCTGTGATTATTCTGCTAGGAAACAAGAACAGAACTAAGCTCTCTTTCCACACCCCCGGCCCCCACCGGCCTGGCATTAAATTGATGCAATATGATTACGTGAGGAATAAATGAAGAAAGCTGTTTGAGTTCATTAGCAGCACACCGGCACCTAACGCAGACGGCTGGGCTGGCTCACTGCACGCTGCCTCCTCGCTTTAATTGCTGCACCACCAGGCTGCCCACACCTCTTTCCCAGCCATTAATAATCTCCAGGAGAGGCCGCCTCCCCCCCTGGAGAGCTGTCAGCTGGGAAATGAGAGGAATGCAGGAGCTCCCCCACCTCTTTGGTGACACACATTGATCAAATCCACGCTTTCCTCCCCACCGCAGGGCTCCTTCCACCCTTGCCTGCTTGGTGGTTCCTAAAAGGTGCAAACTCCTTTCTCTTCACGCCTTGCAGAGAGCCAACCAAGCGACTCTGGCCTGCCCAGTG